GTGAGGCTCCGTCTCAAAAAAAAAAAAAAAAAAAAACTCCCTTTGAAGGCAGCATTTCAAAGAATCTATCAAAATGCAGGATCTTCCTTTTGTCATATAATTCTTATATTTCTAAGATGCTTTCTTTCAGAAATTCATTTATATACCTTTGTTTACTTGGAAATATAAATTAAGACATTTGAGGGCAGCGCCTGTGGCTCAGTGGGTAGGGCGCTGGTCCCATATACCGAGGGTGGCAGGTTCAAACCCAGCCCTGGCCAAACTGCAACAACAACAACAAAAAGACATTTGAGGTTTTTGTTGAATTTGGAATATCGAGAGAGCAATTCATCTTATTATTTAGGATTTGGGCAGCTTTTTTAGCTTTTTTTTTGAGACAGAGTCTCACAGTGTTGCCCAGGCTAGAGTGCTGTGTCATCAGCTTCTCTCACAGCAACCTCTACCTCCTGGGATCAAGGGATACTCCTACCTCAGCTTACTGCGTAGCTGGGACTGCAGGTGCTGGCCACAGTGCCCGGCTAATATTTCTATTTTTATTTTTTGTTTTCGGAGAGAGAATTTCACTATCACCTTCAGTAGAGTGTCGTGGCGTCACAGCTCACAGCAACCTCAAACTCTTGGGCTTAAGTGACTCTTTTCCCTCAGTTTCCCAAGGAGCTAGGACTATAGGTGCCTTCCACAACACCCAGCTATTTTTGTTGTTGTTGTTTCAGTTGTCATTGTTGTTGGCAGGCCCAGGCCAGGTTCAAACCTGCCAGCCTGGATGTCTGTGGCTGGCACCCTACCCACTGAGCTATGGGCACCACTTGATTTTTCTATTTTTAGTAGAGACAGGATCTTGTTCTTGCTCAGGGCTCAGGTTGGTCCCAAACTCCTGAGCTCAAGTGATCTTCTCACTCCAGCCTCCCAGAGTGCTAGGATTACGGCAGGATTTGGACTTCTTACTGACAGTGCAGTGGCCTAGGTTGTGGCATTTTCTCTTTCACCTGATCTGTAGTCCAGAAAAATGGAGAAAGGCTTGAGTCACGTCAATTCTGGAAACTGTCATGTCTCTTAGGCTGCTGTGTTAAAGTGAGCCACTTATCTGGCTTAGAGTGAGGCTGTCTGTTCTAGGCCTCAGGTACCAGGGGAAGAAGATGTAAGAAGGACCTCCAGAGGGCGGTGCCTGTGGCTCAGTGAGTAAGGCACCGGCCCCATATACCGAGGCTGGCGGGTTCAAACCCGCCTTGGCCGAACTGCAACCAAAAAATATCCAGGCGTTGTGTCGGGTGCTGGTAGTCCCAGCTACTCGGGAGGCTGAGGCAAGAGAATCGCTTAAGCCCAGGAGTTGGAGGTTGCTGTGAGCTGTGAGCTGTGTGACGCCACAGCACTCTACCAAGGGCAACAAAGTGAGACCCTGTCTCTACCAAAAAAAAAGAAGGAGCTGCAGAGACTGATAAGATCTCCAACGAGACCAGCTTTGAGATGAAATGGGGAGGAGGAGGTGCTGGTCAGAAGGAAGAAGGTGAGTCATAGGAAGACCTGGGAAAGGTCACATTTGGGAGAATACAGTGAAATCAGAGCATGTCAATAGTTGATAAGACCAAGATGGCTAGACGTGCCCCCAGCATTGGCCCAAGAACTTCTAGCCATACAGGAGTCCTGAAGAAGGTAGTTGGTGCAGGATAGCGAGCTAAGGGCGCCTGAAGGTGCCTGGTGAAGTCATAAAGGAAGGTTTGGCCAGCAGGGGAAGGAGGACTCAGAAAAGTCTTTGGGATGAGCAGATAAATTGTCCCTCAATGGCTTAGTCTCAATTCACCAAGGTGCCCCCACCTGTCACATCTGGGCCATGGAAGGTTTCAGATGGATGAGCCTTTTGGAGCTGATAATACGAGTTCCCTTTCCTTGAAAGGCCCCTGTGGACCAAGCGCTGTTTTGAGTACATGACATATGAGATCATACTGAATCCTTTCAATCAGCTGCAAGGAGAAGGTTATGGTTGAGGAGAAGGAAACTGAGGAGGTTAAGCAAGTTGTCCACTGTGGTAACCCAGAATAAGGTGGCAGGGCTAGAATTCGGCTGACTCCAGAGTCATCTCTCTTACCTGCTTCATGAAAAAATGAATGTTTTTCAAACTTTTTAAAGTAGCAAAATGCATTATTTAACCCAGAACTTAGACGGTAGTGGGGGTTTCTCAGCTGCCCTAAAGTACAGTATGAAATCCTCTGTCTGGTGCAATGTCTTCATTTTATAGATGAGGAAAGTGGATCCTAGAGCAGATCACAGTCACACAGCAGGCTGGTGACAGAGCAGGGCTGAGTCCCTCGAGCTTTTGGCTCCATGATTCTGCTGCTCAATTCCTCTGTTAAGCCCTTGCGGAAAGGACCCACAGATACCCTCTGTCTTAGTGCAGTTAGTATTGCTCTACAGGATTACCTAAGGCTGGGTAATTTACAAAGAAGAGCAGTTTATTTGGTTCTGCCGGCTGTCCAAGAAGCATGGTGCTAGCAGGTGCTTCTGGCGAGGGCTCAGGCTGCTGCCACCCATTAAAGGGAGCAGGCATCACATTGCAAGAGAGGAAGGGAGAGAGTGGGGAGAGTTACTAGGCTCTTTAACAACCAGCTCTCACAGGAACGAATAGAGCAAGAGAACTCACTTGTTACTGACAACACCAAGCCATTCAAAAGAGATCTGCCACTATGACCCTATTGCCTCCCATCAGGCGCAGCCTCCAACATTGGGGTCAAATTTCGGCATGAGGTTTGTAAGGACAAACATCTGAACCAGATACCACCCTCTGTTCTGCTCTGAGGTCTCAGTCCTTGGCGTGTCTTACTTCATCCGTCCAGCTTTTTTTTTTTATCATGGAGGCCACAAAAGCTGAGACATTATCTACCCAGTAGGTCATCTAGGCCTTATCTCAATGTGCCCCAAATCACTGTGGTCTCCAGAGGAGGAGCTGTGTGAAAACCTTGACCCTGTGCTTAACTATATATGTCATTCTTGCTGTCTTTGCCCTGTCTTATTATAACAAAGATTCTGGAAGGACCTTTGATGCTTTGGAACTAGCCTGAAGGCAGCTGTGCTCTGCACCAGGATCATGCAAGTTTGGGGTTCCTCCCTTCTAGGGGTGCAGACTAGGGGTCACAGTGGAGATGTGAAAATGTAGAGTCAACAGTACTGGGTCCCAGCAAGGGCGCTGTGGCCCTGGGCACGTAACTTACACACTCTGAGCTTGAGTTTTCTCATTACTCCAAAAAATAGAGCAGCTGATAGTCATTAGTTTCATGGTTATCATAGTAGCTGACACATGTAGCACGTGCCATGTGCCAGGCCCTGTTCTAGACCTTTGGCATAAGATAAATCATTTGATCCTCATATAAGCCCTATGAATAAGTCTATTATTACCCCCATATGGAAACATAGAAAGGTTAAGCCCAACATCACACAGCTAGTGAGTGGCCAAGCCAAGATTCACACCCAGGCAGGGTGGCTCCAGGGCCTGTTTAGCCCCCACCCTCTGCTTCATGGGCTAATGCATGTCAGCTCCTCAGCACAGGTGGCACCAATAGGTGCTCAGCAAAGTCCGCAGTCTGCTTGAAGTCTGGAGGGTCGGCTCAGCGCCTGTGGCTCAAGTGGCTAAGGCGCCAGCCACATACTCCTAAGGTGGTGGGTTCGAATCCAGCCCCAGCCCGCCAAACAAGAATGATGGCTGCAACCAAAAAATAGCCGGGCGTTGTGGCAGGCGCCTGTGTTCCCAGTTACTTGGGAGGTGGAGGTAGGAGACTTGCTTGAGCCCAGGAGTTGGAGGTTGCTGTGAGCTGTGATAACACAGCACTTTACCCAGGGAGACAGCTTGAGACTCTGTCTCAAAAAAAAAAAAAAAGTCTGGAGGGTCTTCTAATGGCTCCTAGCATCTCCTAACCCCAAGTGTCCTCAGACTACGGCCCGTGGGCCACATGCAGCCCACCTAGGACATTTATCTGGCCCACCGGGTGTTTTTGCCGCCACTGCCTGTCCTGCTTAGCAGCCGACTCCTCCCAGGGCCTGCAGTCCAGCCCTCCAACGGTCTGAGGGACAGTGAACTGGCCCCCTGTTTAAA